AAGATCTGTGAGTCTGTTTCTGTTTTGATATATATTTGTTTCTTATTACATTTTAAATCTTTTGATATGGCATAGCTTCTTTGGTGATTTAGCAAATAACTATTATTCTCTTCCAGTTAAATTTCCTGACTTTCCTGTCTTGATAAGGAAATAATGTTGATCTGCAAAAAAACATAATTGTCAAGTGGAATGATGATATAGGAAAGTAGGTCTTATCGTTTTCCCAAATGTTGTGCTATAAATAACAACCTTTTGCTAGTTCGTTATCATTTAGCTCCAGATTTGCCATCCAGTTCCAGCTAACTTCCATGGACCTGGTTACCAGTTAAATCAGAGGCTTGGAGGAAAATGAGGAAGGGCAGAGATTGTCCTGGCTTTTCATCCATGCATGCATGCATGCATCCATCCATCCATTCACCAGTTACTGCCTCCTCCTTCCTGCCAGGCCCTATCCTGGGCTTTGAGGCCAAGAAGTGACCTCAAAATAAGCCCTGCCCTCAAGCAGCTGTAGCCAAGTGAGAGTTAACAGATGCAGGAAGTGCGCACAGATGGGCGTTGCGTAACCACCCATCTCCCTCCCCGGACTGTGTACACAGGGCATTTGTCTTCCCCATTTCTCTCTCCTCCATGCCTAGCACAGTACTGAGCCACATTTTAGGTGCTCAATAAATGTTAGCTGAATGAATGCAAAGGCTGCATGGAGGAAGCAGCGTCTGACCTGGGGCTTCGATACTGGAGAGGCTACTGACAGGTGAAGATGTGGTGGCAGGTAGAGGGGACCACTCCCTCAAGAGGACGAGTGACAAGGCCATTTCAGAAGGATCGTCCTGGCTGCTGTGGGGGAATGGTGATTCTGGGTGAGATGGGGAGTCGGGAGTGGCGGGGAGGGAGACCTGCCCAGGGAGACCTGGGGAGGGAAACCAATACAGTGCCGAGGGAAGAGAGGACTGTGATCTGGACCAAGGCTTTGGTAGTGAGGACAGGAAAGGCCTGAGCGGAGATTTTGAAGGAATGGACAAGATGTGGGAGGCGTGAAGCAGGAGAGGGCGGGAGTCAAGGGTGAGTCTGGGTATCTGGGGGAGGGGGTAGGTTGGGGATGCCTCGGCAGGAAGCTCAGGTCTTTTGAGCAAAATTTGAGGGCAGAAAGATCTTCCAGGTCCCTCAAGTCAGCTCTGGTGTCATTTCTACTACCTGGAACTGTGCTGGGTGGGAGGGGGATGGGTGGAGCTGTCCTGTGGGAAAAGGGAAGAGAAGTCAGTTCCTTACAAATAAGAGGCCCTGCCTCACCTTCACCTGTTTTCTGGGCCCTGAGGGAGAGAAGGTTTGCCCCTGAGACCTTGTCAATGCCCAGAGTGTCACTGGAGGGTGAAGTTCCTCCAAAAATGCATGTTCTGATTCTTGCTCAGCTGCACACATCACACACCATGGATGGCAGGACCTCCTTCTCTCTCTGAATATCTTTTATTTTTCTTGGGATATAACATACATAAAGTACATAAAATCCTCTAATCTTAAGATATAGCTTGCTGAATTTTTGCCCACGTCATCACCAACCAGACAGAGATATGGACCTTTGCCAGCACCCCAGAAAATTCCCTCCTGCTCCTCTCCTATCTCTATGCCCTCCTCCTCCGACCCAGGTGACTACTATTCTGATTTTTAGAACCATAGATTAGTTTTGCCTGCCCTTGAACTGGATTCTTTCAGTTCACATACTCTGTGACTATAATCTATATTGTCTGGATTCTTTCAATCCACATACTCTATGTGACTACAATCTATATTGTCACGAGTCAGCAATTCATACTTTTTTTTTTCTTATGCCATGCCACTCGGTTTGTGGGATTTCAGTTCTCCCACCAGGGAATGAACCCAGGCCACAGCAGTAAAAGCCCAGACTCCTAATCACTAGGGCACCAGGGGACTCCCAACAATTTGTACTTTTTTATATAAAACATAGTATTCCATTGGATGGACATGCCATAATTTGTTTATCCATTCTTCTGCTGATGAACACTGTGTTATGTCCACTTTGAGCTATGAATAAATCTGCTACGAAAACCCTTGCACAAGGGACTTTCCTGGCAGCACAGCAGTTAAGAATCTGCCTTGCAATGCAGGGGATTTGGGCTCCATCCCTGGTAGTGGAATTAAGATTCCCACGTGCCACAGAGCAACTACTGAAGCCCAAGTACCACTAGAGTTCCTGCACCACAAGGAAAGGTCCTGAGTGATGCAAAAAGATTCCGCGTGCCGCAACTAAGATGTGACATAATCAAATATATATTTTTCTAAATCCTTGCACAAGTCTCTTTGTAATAAGCACTCATTTGTCTTGGAATGAAAAGCAAGGAGTGGAAATTCTAGGTCAGAGCATAGGTGTCTGCTTACATTCAGCAGAAACTGCCAGTATTCTGACGTGATTGTACCAATTTCCTCTCTCACAGGCAGTGTGCAAGAATTTCGGTCGCTCCACACCCTTGCCAACGCTCAGCCTTTCTCTTTTCTAAACAAGAGTTTCCACTATGAGACTCCTCTTTTCCTCCGGTGTTGGATATTGGGTGCGCCTGGCATGATAGATCCCTCAGTCCAGAGACAGCAAGACAGAAGTCACATCTAGCGTGAGTCTGACCTCCAGGGGAATGGTCATCTCCGTGATGTGGATGGGACTCCAGGAACGGGGGTGGCCATTTTATGACCGTGAGTATGAAACCAACGTGGGGACAGCAGGGCAGACCTGGAATAGACCTGAGAGATGGAATATCCGTGAGGACATGGCCAAGCCATTCAATTAATCTGCCACTGAGTGGCAGGGTACTTATTTTTTTAAGCCAAGTGAATTAGCGTCTTGTTTTTGGAACTAGAATCATAAAGGATACAGTCCCCAAGTCCCCCTGGTAACCAAACCGAATGGCCATTTCCCTCCTCCACAGCAGTCAGCGCCACTAAACACTCCCTCCACCCTTAAACCTTCTCTCTGGGATCCCATGCTCACCTGGTCCTCCTCATACCCCATGGGTCACTGCTTCTCAGCCTCCTTTCTTGTCTCCTCTTCCTCTGCCTACTTTTAAATTTACCTTTGTTTTCTAGGCTCTCATCCAAAACCATGACGTGTGTGCTGTGTGTCGATGCTACCAAAATATGTGTCTCCAGCCCAGACCTCTCTTCGGAGCCCCAGTCTCATATACAACGGCCTATTGACCCTCTCAATCCAACCATTGCCCAGGCTTTTCAAACTTGCCTTCTTAGCCAAACTTGATCTTTCCCCTCAATCTGAGACTTCTGCAGGCTTTACCACCTTAGTCAAGGACTCTCATTCCTGCATACCCGAGGCAAAGATGGAGGTGTCATCGCTGATGCCTCAACAACCACCCACATCCCATCTGAGATTCTTTGCATCTCCACCTCCCCAAGCCACGACCTTGCCAGGGTCACAGGTTTGCATCAGGAAACCTTCAGCAGCCTTCTAACTGGTCTCCCCACAACCCCTGGAAAGTGTTTTCTGAGCCATGAAGTCAGGGTGGCCTTTCAGAAACCCAGACCTGGTATGATTCCCATGATGCAAATAGCTCTCCTTACTCTCAAGATAAAATCAAAATTCATTACGTAGCACTATCTGTTCTATTTGCTCATTCCTCACCCTCACTGGCTCCTTCCCTCCTCCACAACATCTGGGACAAGTGGTTCTTTCTGCCTAGAACATTGCCCCTCTCAGTCTTGCCCTGAACAACTCTTAACTATCCTTGGTTTTTTAGCCTAAATGCCAGCTTCCCATGGAGAGCCCACCATCGCTCTTCACCCTACATTTGTTGCTGTTGCTTAGTTGCTATTTTGTGTCCAATCACAACCCTATGGACTGCAGCCCACCAGGCTCCTCTGTCCATGGGATTTCCCAGACGAGAATACCTAAGCTGGTTGCCATTTCCTCCTCCAAGGGATCTTCCTGACCCAGGGATTGAATCTCTTGCATCTTCTGCATCAGCAGGAAGATTCTTTACCACTGAGCCACCTGAGAAGCCCTCACCCTACAATAAGTCTCCATTAATTTTTCATAACACTCTTCATCCCCCCTCAGCACTTCCCATCATGCATAATCATATATTGATTTGATTAAAATTATTAACAGTGATCATCTTGATGTTTAAAATTTTTATTTTATTGACATATAGTTGATTTACAATGTTGTGGTAATTTATGCTGTACAACAAAGTGACTCTGTTATACACATATATATACATTTCTTTTCACATTCCTTTTCACTATGGTTTATCAAAGAATACTGAATACAGTTCCCTGTGCTATACAGTAGGATCTTATTTATCCATTCTATATATAATAGGTTGCATCTACTAATCCCAGATTCCAAATCCATTCTCCTCCCCCCAACCACAAGTCTGTTCTCTATGTGAGTCGGCTTTCTAGATTTGTTCATTTGTGTCATAGTTTAGATTCCACATGTAAGTAATTTGATGACCGTTTTCCCACCCTCCCCCACTTCCCCCCACTAGTGGGGCAGCGTTTTGAGTTAAACAGCGCCTATGTCATCCTCCATTCTATCCTCTTGACTTTAGCACTGCACTTACACATAGTTAAGTGCTCAAGGAATGTGTTTAATTAGCTAATAAATGGATACATTGAGTCATTTAATTCCTAGAACAACCCTGTTATGTAGGCATCCAATCAGACTTGGGGAAGCTAAGAGTCAAAGCAAGTAGCAAAGTACAGCACAAGGGGAAGAGTTAGGTCCTGACCCAAGTCAAATCGTAAATTCTGAGCCGGACTATTTCCGCTCCTGACCTCTGGCCTTGGTAAAGGGGTCGGGGAGGAGGCCGACTTAAGGGTTTCCCCGCAAGACGCGGGTCACCCCCTAGAGTCGAAGTGCTCACCTACGGAGACGAGGGTACGCCCCCTCCGCTCCCCAGTGTAGAGATCACAATCTACTGCATATGCATGAGGGGACCAAGGGAGCTGTGATTCGGGGCTGTTCAGGACGCGCCTGATCAAAAACTCTTCGGATTTGAGGAGTCCAGAGTCCGCAGATTTCGGCACACACTAATAAAAATCTTCAAATGGTCATCTGTGCAAATGTTAGGAGCGTATGAGGCGAGGGCGAGCCCCCAAAGTTTGGGTCGCTTGATCAGGCGTCTGCTGTAGGCAGCCCGATTCCAGAAGGGGTCCTCGACCGGCTCGACTAGAAGACGAAGGGGGCGGCTCCCCGGCTTCCTGCGGCGTCGGTGGCGAGCTGAGGTGGAAGCGGGTCGCGGCAGCGAAAGCGACAGCGGTGGCGGCGGCGCCATGGCGGGGCTCGCAGGTACCGTGGCGTCGGCCTCCGGGGGGCGGGATGAGAGGCCTTCATGCGACCGCGCCGCCATGTTGTCCCTTCGGGGTCACCTTAAGGCGTCGTCCGGTCTCTCTCTGGGGTTTTCCTTCCGCGCACCCTGGGGGCCGCCCCTGTCCGGTGTCACGTGATCGCGCTGTTTGGCCTCCGGGCCGGGCCTTGTGGGGGGCGGGGGGGGGGTACTACCTTCCCGGCCCGAGGGCGGGTCCCCGGCCTCCTGGGTTCTCGTTCTGGCCTCCAAGGTCAGCGGTCGCCTGTCAGCTCCCGGAAAGGGGCAGGCAGAACCGGGGAGCGCGGGGCTAGGGGTGCGACCACCGTGTCTTCAGCCCCCGGGACCCGTGGCAGGGGGCCCAGCTTGTGAGAGATCTGTTACTCTGTCCCCACCACTTCAGTTGTTTTTTCTTCTTTTTTTTTAAATCAGAAGGGGCGTGGGGGAGAGGGGGGAGAAAAGGGTCTCCCTCCCCGGGTCCCCGCCATGCTGTCTGGGGTGATAGGCTGACGCTCTGCTTTGGGGCGCGGGTGGTTCTTCCTCTCTCTCAATTTTACACCAAGTCTGGACACCCGTTCCCTTTCCTACAATATATATGGGGAGTGGCCCTCAAGGGCAGCTGAAGGAATGGAATGCCTGGCACACTAATGGCCTGGAAAGAATGGGGGATGGGGAACAGTTGATTTTTCCTTCCCTCTTCCACAGCTTCTTTAATTTCCTTCCAGTCCTGCATGTCCCTTTTCAACGCTAAATGTTGGGACAGACTGGGGTCTATCCTAGGAAAGAAATGGTCTTTCTGTTTATAGGTATGGATCGTGTTTTATCCCTTACAGGGAACTGGTGTCTTGGGGATGGCGTCTCTTTGCCCTGCCTGACATGGTACCACCATCCCCTCAGCCTTTTGGACAGCAACACCAAAGCCAGAACCGCCCCCCCCCCCCAAAAGTTCCAGCTTAAGTGCTAATGCCAAGTGTTAGATCTTGTTTGTTTATTTGTTTGAAATCAGAGACTAATTAATGTCAAGCAAAGCTGTTCAAAGATTGCGGAGCCCTGGTGGGTTTTCAGTGACCAGATCACTTCCATAACTAAAACAGGTCTTGTTAGAATTGCTGCCAATAACAGTTTAACCTTTTGTCTGTAATCTGTTGTTTCAAAGAGGAATCTTGAAGTCTGGATTTGGTTGTGTTTTTCTGTTGTTGTTCTCTTATCTTCGAAACATATGCATTCCATTTCAAGCCTGTCACTGTGTGATATACCAAGGACCATGTGTTGCCTGCCTCTCTGATTTCCTGTTCTGGGAATGCTCTGGAATCTGGATCCTCCTGGGGAATGGGCCCCCCCGTGGGAGGGAAAAAGGGAGAGGGGAGGTTGAGCAGGACCATAATCAGAGAAGATGGTGGCATGTCTCTGGGGCTTATAGAGGAAATCAGAGGTCACCAGGGAAAAAAAGACTGTTGTGAAACTAATGTTTTGTATGTGTGTGCACGTTTAAATCTCTGGGGGTGAAACTAACTGCAAATTTAGAATCTCACTTTAGGGTGCTGGCTCCTGAGTAGATACAAGTTTGAAAATAGATGTCTAGCAAATGGCTTACAGCACACCTGCTCCCTCCTCCAGCCCACGCGTAATAAGCTGTTGCTGTCCTGCAGCTGAAGCTCAAGAAACCTGTCCTTCCATCGAAATCCAAATATTCCACAGGGAGAGGTAACGGTGTCACATAGCACCCCACACCTCTAACAGTCAGGGTACCTACACCCCTCTGGGGTTTAACTGAAGCTGGTTAGGCTAAGAGACTAACATCCTCTGGGGGCATTGGTCCCAAGAGCCTTGCCTGCTGCTGGAGTCCCACTCAGCCATTCCAGTTCCCTCATAACTCATCTGCTCTATCCTTGGTCTCCTGGGGGCAAAGTGGGGGTAGTAGAGAAAATGTAAGGAAAGGGGGTGCTATGGACTAAGGGCTATGCAACAAAATTGTAGTCATTTTTAACTCCTCCCATTGTTCTCTATCAGAATAAAATGTTTTAATGGTATTGCTTCTGGAAAAAAAAATTTTTAAACAAGCTAGGTTTGGATCAGACTTGTAAGCACCGCATAGGAGTAGAAAGGGAACACATTCCTTCCGTCTTCTCCAGTGGACTGTGCTTCCTCTATAACATGAGGGCTTGGTGCAGGGCAGAGGGCGGAGGGAGGGCACATTGCACATTTAAGCCACCTGTGTGAGCGCAGCCCACCAGGGCAGCCCTGGCCTGGAAGTCTGTTTTCTCATCATGCCGCACTCAGAGTCCTGCCGATGGATGGATGGAGGAAGCCCTGCAGGGGGCTTTGCCAGGATCATCTGGGAAGCCCTGGGGCTGCCACCAGCCTCCTGCTTTTTTAAAGGGGGGCCTACTGTGTCAAGAGCATCCAGACACTTCCATGCTGCCTCATCTCGTCTCCCTAAGCCCAGCTGCCTTATACCTGAGCCAAGACTAGAGCATCTGGGGCAGTGGGGCCATGGGGCGCACCCCTTGAAGGCTCTGAACACATGTTGGAATATGTTCATGGTTCTCCCGGTTTAGTGTGGAAAACCACAAATACTCCCAGTCTTGAGGCCAAGATATGGGCTTCAGAAGGGAGGTGTGGACATTGCCTGCTGCTGAGTCACCCTGGGGCATGAGGAGACCTGCCCCACCTTCAGGCTGTGGTAGGGACTGGAACCACCCAGCCTGAGCCTCGGATCGCACATCCCCACCCCAAGCCTCAGATCGCACATCCCCACCCCAGTCCCGCCCGTTGAGTCCTGCTTTGGCAGAATGTTCCTAGCAGGTTGGGGTTCCCTGGGATCTCAGCAGTCCTTTCACAAAGGGGAACTAAAGGTAGGGCTAGGAGTGACCTGACCAGGTTCCCTGGGCTGACCAATGGCAAGGCCACTACCTGAACTGAGGTCTGCACCCTCCAGCCCCTTAATTCTCTGACCTTGAACTGAAGTTATAAGTGCCTCTGAAGGTGCTGGTGGTTGGCCTGAGAAATGCTAGGGGCTGGATTAGGGGCGGGCAACATGAGGCTCAAGGGATTGAGGTCCTTTGTGCTCCAGAAGTGTTTGTGACAGCTGTGACTAAGGGATTTAACAAAGTGGCAGAAAGATTTATGGCCCTCCAACTCACTCCCTGGACGTTGACCCGGGAACAGGTGTGTGGTGACAGGAACACATAAAGCCACAGACAAGGCTGAACAGGCGGCAGGGCCACTTGGTGGGGCAGTCAGCTGACCCCACATAAAAGAAGCCCTGACTCACTGAGGAGTGGGAGAGAGAAGTCAGGAGCTGAGCAGCCAGCCCACCTACCCACCCTGGCATGATGGCAGGGGAGAGCCCAGGGTCAGGGACCTGGTAAGAACCCTTAAAAATATGGAGGCTAAGGGTGGGAGAAGCAGAGAACCCAGTGATGGAGAGAGTGAACTGGAGAGAGGTTCCTGAGGGTTGAGGAGGAGGCCCTGGGAGACTAGGCCGGCCTGGCAGGAGGCCCATGTCGTGGTCCTGGTAGAAGTTATAGGGCCTGGAGGGGTGAGCTGGGCAGGGGAGGGCCATGCCACACCTTTTATCCCAGGGAAGCATGGCGTGCTGCAGTCCACGGAGTCTCAGTGAGTCAGACCTGACTGAGCGACAACACCGGCAGTGTCCAAACCTGTGTACCCCGTGCTTATTTCCTTGGGGATCCTGGATGGGTCCCCAAGACTTTGTGTTCTGAATTCTTGATTACCCTCTTGGCCCCTAGTACCCTTAGGGACGTAGGGCTCCTCCCACCTTTCCACTCCTCCTTTCCCTCCTCCCACTTTCTTCCCTCCTCCTCCCATTTTCCCCTGCATCTTTCCCTTCCTCCCATCTTTCCCCCTCCTCCTACCTTTCCCCTCCTCCCCTGTTTCCCCCCTCCCACCTTTCCCCCTCTCCCATCTTTTCCCCCTTCATTTTTGCCAAGGTCCCTATCCCAGGATGAGTGAAGCCCACCCCTTTGGTGAGGGATAAGTGATCCCTTATTTCGAGACCACAAGTGAAGATGGTTCCACCTTTTCCTGTGGGTGGTAGGGGGTGTGGTCCTTTTTCTTAGGACAGTGTTGAGATGAAACTGGGTGTGTGATTATTCCCATTTTGTTGCCTCCCCCCACCCCAAGTAGTGTACCCACCCAGACCAGTCTTAGAAGTATGTGTTGAAGCCGCAAGAAGTGACAGGAGACAAACTTTTTGGTGCGCCTCCACCTCCCCGCAGGGTCCTGGGACACTGCGAGACGGGGGAGGTACTTTTTTATTTTTTGTAGAGGCGGTCCCTGTCCTCCAGGAGCTTACAATCTAGCCGGGGAGACACAACTAATGCACAATTATACAATCATTACAATTAGCAATTACCACAATATTGAGCACAATTGCATGAGACCTGGGGGACCAAGATCAGTGAGGGGCTGGGGGCTTGGACAAGGTGTTTTTGTAAAGATGGGATTCGTTTTCTTGTTCAGTAGGTCCAAATTGAGTGACACATTTCTTTGGGGTGGCAGTGAGGAAGAAAGGGGAATCGGGGGAGCAAAGGCAGCAAGGCTGGAATGCATGTGCCGTAGGCAAAGGACAGTGAGGGCCCTGCTCTGTCTCTTAACCCTCCTCCCTCACCCTCTGCCCTCCAGTCCTGCCACAGAGGCACGTAGTTGTCGCTTGTCTGCTGCACCGAGATTCAGGGCTTCAGCTGGTGATGTTGGAATGTCCATTCTGCTGGCTGGTGTGGTGGTCTGGATCTCTGTGGTGCGGCCTGCTGGCATGGCCATGGCTGCGGGGCTGGGATGGCGCTGTCCCGACTTGGTCCAGATCTGAATGCGTTGCCTGTGCCCAGATCTCAGGAGTCTGCTCCCCCTGTGCCCCCCTCCTCCCTCTATGCCACCCGCAGTGGGAGGGGTGCAAAGGGGTGGGGAAGGGACCTCGTGTTGTCGTCATTGATGGTGCTGCTTCTCCGGGGGCCTACCAGCCCCTCACTGACCTTGGCAAGTGCTCCTCTGGCGAGAGGGCACAGGGGACGCCCCATTCCTGCGCGGCGCTGGCTCCCGTGCGGGTGGGATGGCACAGGGGCACCTGGGGACACGGCCGCCCAGGGGCGGGGGCTGGGGCCTCAGTTGGGGGCCCGCTGGCGGCGCTCTCCCAGCACGTGCCGTCCGGTTCTCGACACCGTGTATGCCAGCTTCTGCAGGGAGTACCTGAACACCTGTGGCGAGGGAGAGACCCAGGACCTGCCCTTAGAGGCGGGCACCCGCAGCATGTCTGCAGCGCTGCCGGGCCCGCCCCCGCCCCGCCCCCTGCCCCGCCCGCCTGTCCAATGAGGAGAGGCGGGTGCGGGCGCAGCTTGTCCACGAGTCAGGGCAGCTGGAGCTTTTCCAACTGTGCTGAAGGCTGCATGGCCGCAAGCTGATTGGACCCACAACTTAGGTATACCTCACTTCTCGCAATGGGCTGTGTCCCTGGAGGATTTCGAAAAGCGAATCCTACCCAGTAAATGCAGCATTCCAGGAACACCTTGAAGGAAATATGCGATTCCTTTGGCAAAGGATTCCTTTAACAGGGAATTCTTCCTCCAAGGGGTGCTTTTAGGGTAGATGATTTTATGGACAAAGCGCTTTCTTCTGATTTCTTTCTTTTTACACAAAGCAATTTATTTTTAAATAAAGCAAACTGTCCTTTTTCGGAAGCTCCTTTTCCCTATTTTTCCTGCAAAGAACCTTTTCCTCTAATTGCTTTCTTCAAAGCGCTTTTATTGATTCATAATTTCTGTTAGCTCCTTTGTCTAATTTTTTTCTGCAGTGCGTTTTTTCTCTAATGCATTTTTTTCTGCCAAGTGCTTTTGTCTGATTCTTCCTGCAAAGCGCGATTTCTCTAATTCATTTTTTCCCGCGAATTTTTCTGATTTGTTGTATTCCTGCCTTTTGCAAAGTACTGGGTTTTTTCCCTGAGAAGTGCCTTTTTCTAACTTATTTTTTGTCCCACCCCCGCAAGTGCTGTATTTTCTAAAGGAAAATTTTTCCGCAATGCGCAATTTTTTTAAGGCAGAAAAATTTCACTATGTGAACGGTAACGTCTCTCTTCGCAGAACAGAAGTGCCCCGCCTCCCTCCTGGGGTCGAATCTGGTGTAGCGGGATTTTCTTACCACGTTGGTCGCTAAGAGTCTCGGCGATCATCAGCCGCAGGCGCCCGCCGCGCCCCAACTCTTTGTTCCCGAGCGGGCGCACTGGGAAGGGTCTACGCAAGGAGGAGGGTGCAGGGAACGGGCGGGGGCGTGCAGTGCCGCCGCGGCACTTGGGCGGGCAGGGATCGCGGCAATTGGGGCAGGAAGGGTTGGGATGCGGCAACTGCAACGCGGGCTTGACGGTTCTGGGGGCGCGCATCGGGACCCTCTCCCACTCAGAACCCGAGCAGGCTTACCTGCAGCAGCACGCGGAAAATGTACCAGCCGATGATGAGCAATTCAGCCGACGCTGCCGCCACTGCCGCCATGGTTCCGAGACTGGTGGGTAGGTGGTTGAGAGCGAGTGCTGCCGGTTCCGAGGTCCGCTGGCCTCTCGGAGTCCGCTGTTGGGCGCACTGCCGCAACCGAGGTGGCTGCGCCTTAAATATCTGCCCGCTGCCCAAGTGCGCATGCGCGCTTGGGCGGGGGTCCGTGAGGTGGGGTAGCTGGGGGCGCTTCTCATTCGTCAGAAGAGGAAAAAAAAATAATCCATCTGCTCTTTCCACATCGACCCCCGCCTCCTGAGTTCATCTTTGCCCCTTTCCAGAAGATTCCGCGGTGCCCGCTCTTTGAATTTTAATTTAAAATGGAGGGGAAATGTAACTCCGAGTTAGCGCATAGGGTGAAAGTAGAGGCACGCACCTCTTGTTAGCGGAACCCCTCTTTCTGACCCGAAGCCTGCAGATTCGAGCCCAGTGTCCGATCCTGCGCCATATCGCACCTTGGGCTTGGGTGGAAAATCAGGGGGACCTAAGTTAGAGAGGGATCGTCTGCCCCGCGGAGCAAAAACAGGTGCCCTTTCTAGAAGCCTTGGCATCACAGGTCCCTTGCTCAGTATTCTTTTTCTAATACTCAATGTGTTAGAAGCCCACGTCCTCAGCTTTGCAAAAGTCCCTGCGCACGGAACCTTTTGGGGATTCCTCACATCCCGCTTCTTACGGTTGCTAGATCTGCAGCCGAGGCAGTTGTTGGGAGCCGAGCCAGGACGCTGAGCCCTAGGTAGAAAGGCGATAGTCACCAGGTGTCTACCTTGTGGGATGGGAAGTGGGCGGGATGGCGCCTTCTTTGTGTGCGCGGAATGGATGGGACGAGCTCTCCAAAGTAGTAATCTGAAGGTGCTCTGGGATAGTTTTCTGCTGAGCGGGTTACTTCAACCTCTGCTCCCCTACCCCCAGGCCCTGGTAGGTCTTCCTCAGCCCGCGAGGTTCTTTGTACCCGTTAAGCTGGACGCCTGGAGTTTGGAGCGGGGTTTTGCTACAGCTGTGGGAGGGTAGTGGCTGCTGCGGTTCAGATAGCAGGCGCGGCAGGAAGACCGGATCGCGGTCTGCGAGCGGGGCCCTGGCATACCAGTGGCCCGCCGCTCAAGCGCACTTCTCTCCAGCGACTGTCTGGCACAGGCGCCAACTGGCACTTGCCCCAATATGGACAGAAAATTAATTTTGATTAAAATCGCATGGAGGGCAAGTTCTATACGGTGCCAGCGGCAGATGGAGATCGCAAGTGTACTTGGGCAAGTGGTCATGTTGGATGAAGTAGAAGGGTTATTTTTTTTCTTCTTTTTTTTTTTTTTTTTTACTATTTTGACTTTCGAAGAAGTTGGCAGATTTTGACACTGGATTATTTGAAAAAGCCAAGCTCATTCTGAGCTGCCATCTTAAACCAAAATATTCGGACATGGCTGCAGTGGCTTCACGGAGCTTGAGAGGAACTATTGCCTGCGATTTGCCGCCGGCGGTGCGCCGCTACTTTACACCAAGCACCTGCTGTGAAAGAGACCATATGCAGAATCCTTTTCTCATTCCGCGGGGGCACAGCACGGAGCCCATGGCCGTCCGGTGGCAACCGCAGGGCGGTATTGTGAGGTCTGGGCCCCTTGAGGACGGGCCGCAGCCCCAGGAGGCGATACATGATCTCTGCTGGGCAGGGCCCAGGCAAAGCCAGTCCACTGTGCCGGACCTGCCTAGAGCCCTCTGGCCGAGCCCCCCACCCCCCAGAAGGGGAGACACCCAGGACGCTTCTTCAAAGGGTGGCTTGGAGAGGAGTAGACTTCCATGGGAGGGAAGGGAGGAAAGGGCATTCACATTTGCTGTTGTTAACCATGATCCATTTTTCCAAATAAGTATACATTCTGTTCCTGTTTTTTTTTTTTTTTTTTTTTGTCTGTCTGTCTGTCTGTTTTGTGTCTGTTTGTCTATTGTGTTGACTTTTCTCTTCAGGATCCCTGCTGCCTTGGTGATCCCGGGCTGACAGCCAGAGAGCACAGCGGCTCAGCTCCTGGAGAGCGAGGGTTGAAGAAAGCAGAGGGCAGCCGCCCGCGCCCGCTAGCTCCTATTAGGTCGGTTCCTGCAGCGGTGCCCGGTGGCCTTGGCGAAGGCCCTGTCCGGCAGAGATCATGTATTGCCTCCAGTGGCTGCTGCCCGTCCTCCTCATCCCCAAGCCCCTCAACCCCGCCCTGTGGTTTAGCCACTCCATGTTCATGGGCTTCTACCTGCTCAGCTTCCTCCTGGAGCGGAAGCCTTGCACAATTTGTGCCTTGGTTTTCCTGGCAGCCTTGTTCCTCATCTGCTATAGCTGCTGGGGAAACTGTTTCCTGTACCACTGCTCCGATTCCCCGCTTCCAGAATCGGCGCACGACCCCGGCGTCGTGGGCACCTAACAGCCAGCCCAGTTAGCTTTCCAAGGAAGCAGAAGACGGGAGGGGAGGCATTGACATAGGTCATAAAGCATTGGAGTTTCAAATCCCGCAGTACCGCGGGTGCCACATTCCTGACGGCGCCTTTTTGGCCTGTGATGTTTTATCCTTATAATGTGAATAATGGGCACTGACCGGTGCTTTTATCGTAGAGTCCTGTAGTCGTGGGTGGTCTTGTGGTTGTGTGTGTTCTGTCCCCATCTTGGCCCCCGGCTGGCAGGATGGCCACCCCCCTCGCCGCATTCCCGCAAGGCATCTGCACCCATCCTGGTCAACTGCCCCAGCATGACCGGGGCAGATAAAATGCCAGTCTCGTTGTCACCTCTGTCCTCCCTTCTGAGTATTACTGACTCCTCCGTCCCTATCTTGGCTTCCTGTAAGTTCTCTTTACCCCTTTCCTTTTTGGGGGAGCACCTGTTCAAGACAGGGCTCGTTTTTGCACTTATCTCGAATATAAAGAGATTGCTGACGCCCGAGAGCCTCGCTTTTTCATCTTTCTTTCCCGGCCGACAGGCTAGACAGCACTATGTCTCACCTGCTGGCCACAGATCTTCAGTGTTTTCCCCACTTCATTTTGAAGGAAGAAGTAACAGATAACATGTTGCTCTTTCATCCAGGAGTCTGGGCTCCTGCTCAGCCACCCAGCTTCGCTTCCTTTGCCCTTCCTCCTGCCTCTCAACTGTCGTGAGGAGGGGGGCCTCATTATGTCTCCCATGCATGCGCTGCAGGATTGATGTGCAGTGTGTTTATGTAGATCTAGCAGTCCCCAGCTGAGTGAATGGGAGCGTACTTGTGTGATTCATGACAGCCAGGATCCCCTCGATAGGTGTTTGGATATTTTTTGGTGTGGTGTGCTGTGCGTGCTGCGTGTGTGTTTACGTACCTGTACAAGTACATGTTGTAAATCCCTTTTAAAGACGCTTTATCGAACGTGTTCTGATTTTGAGGTGTCACAATAGCTAGCTCGTAGGTGCCGCTACAGTGTGTATTTAGCATGGGGATTGCAGAGTGACCAGCACACTGGACTCCAAGGTGGTTCAGACGAGACAGAGGCGAGCAGTGGCCATCGCCCTCGTCCAGGAGTTTCTCCGGTCCTGCGCGTGTATAGACTGTACCTTACGAAGAATACACAGGAAGACTTTGTGACTGTCACTTGCTCTTTTCTTTTTTCTGCGCTTCAGTAAAAGTGTCGGCAAACGAGACTGTCTCCTGGCCCCTGCCCACTGGGGATCAGCATGGTTGTCCCTCCAGTCTAAAGCATCCATCTTTCTCTTGCCTGAAGCGGGAGGGAGGTGGGCCAGGCTGAGGACAGAACTGGAGGCAGTCCATCTAGGGAATGGGACCTCAAGGCCACACTTGTGGGACATTTGGACTGTTGTTCTGGAGCTTTTATTTCTGGTGTGTTCGTTGCACAGCTGTTTGAAATGTTTAATAAAGCTTTATAAACTTTACTCTCTGGTTTTATGTGGCTGCAGTCCATTTGGGTTGTGGTATTGGATTTCTAAGTTGGTGGGGGGCAGGGGGTAGCATGGAGGGGCAGAGTCCTTGGCGCCAGAGTACCTTAGCCTGAAAATTCGATCTGCTCTCTGGAGAGCAGATGGTGGGATTGGGGGTGGGGGAGCAGAGGGCAGGCCAGGCGGTGAACAGGAGGGAGCCTGAAAGTTTTCAGAGAGGAGACATGTGCGTTTCTCAGCTCCCATGGCTTCTCGCCTGAAACTGTTTCCCTCCGTAGGAGATTGGAGTAACCGATCCCTTGACAAACAACTTAAGACAGCTGGAGCTCTAATCATCAAGGATTTTTATGGTGCTGCTTTTGAAGTAAAAATAAAGTGAAACCCCTTATGGCATTTCAAGTGGAAAAATAAATAAGGCTAGCCGGCCACGCAGGGGTCTCTGGGCGATGGCTGGAAGCGCGGTTCTGTGCTGTCGATGTGCACGTGCTCCTGTGGCCGTGACCTTTGAGACAAAGCCAGGTGCCTTGTCAGGGCCATGGGGTGGGTGTCCCCATGGGCTGGGTCCCCATGGGCTGGGTGTCCACCGCTCCATCTTGTCTCCTAGAAAACATAACAGGAGCACTGCCTGTCCAAGGCACAGGACTATTGTGAGAGTTTATTGTTGTGAAAGAACTTGGGTCATTTTACCCAGATTGCTAATTTATTGCTATGAAGTACTGTGTAGTTTTCTCCTGCCCTTTTCAATCTCCTCATTGTCCGTTTATCTCTTTTTCATTCCTACTGTTGCCTATCAGCGCTTTCTCTTTTCTTGGTCAAAACTTGCCAAAGATTTGTTCATTTTAAAGGTATTTTCAGAGAACCAAACTTATTGATTATATCTGCTGGGTGTTTTCCTTTCTGATGCTTCTGTTTTTTCTCTCTGCATTCTTTTTTTTTTTTTCTTCTGGGTTTCTGGATGTATTTTGTGGTTCAGCAAAGTCTTGTCAAGCTGAGGAGTCCTACACATGGAAGGGATGGTTTGTTCAGCAAACACTGAGCCCCTGTCCTGGGCTTGCTGGGGATTTCAGGGCCAAGACCCGGGCCTGACTCTCCAGGAGCTCATGACTCTAGCCTAGTGGGAAGACTTAAGAAAATAGACAACTGCAAATTCCAAAAACAAAACAAACAAGCAAAAAAGGCTTTTGTGGCCATGCTCTCCCATGGAGACACCTGGATGATAAATGAAGCCAAGATTATTGCTTATTTTGCTCTCCTCTAGAAAGCAGCTTTCTGTCGTAGGTCAGGCTCACTCAAGAGTCACAAACAGGCCTCCCTCCGAAAGATTTGTGGCCCTTTCCATCAGGGAGCCTGCAGGCCGCCCCTCCCCAGGGTGACTGCCAGATCAGCGTTCTGTCTGTCCAGCACTGCTCTCCATCTTACTGTGGCAGCACCCAGCCCCTCCTCCTGAAATGCCTTTCAGGAAAATGAGAAGGAGATGCCTCTCCTGCAAAAGAGCAAGGTACAAGGTCTTTGAAAACCACACCCAGCAATTCTGGTGGTCTCTGTGGCTCCTAGTGTGAAATGGCTGGTACCTGGTAACCACAAGATCCCATGAGGCCTTGGTCTGGGCTTTTGTAGGAGCTGGTCCATGCCCTCGTCTGGTCCTGTTTCCTTATAGGTAAAATGTGGTTTTTGGAGCAAACACAGTCTTCCTACCCCTAACATAACAGGGAATCCTTTCTCCTAGGAACTTCGTGTCCTCCTGGATGCACTTGAGGAAGGTGACTGAGCTCTAAGGAGGTGGTATTGCCCTTGCAGGGCAGCCTGCGTGTGCTTTATGATTTAATCATTGTACCACGTTAGCCCAGGAGGCCTTCCTAGACTTCTTCCCTCTCCCTAGAGATCCACTTGCCCAGGTGACTTCACTCAGCCCTCTGTTGAGTGCTAATGTTCATGCAGACTTCCTCAATGACGGTTTCCCCCACCTCCCAGGGGCTTGCGTTGTTATTTAAACCAAGGTCCTTAAGCCATATGGAATCCTGTACGGGACTAGGCCTTGTGGCCACACAGTGGATAAAGTGGATCGTCTCTGTCATCAGGGAGTCATCTGAGCTAAAGAGAATGACATTGGGCAGATAATCCCACAGATAAGATATAACAAGTGCCCCAAGAGGAGAGGACCTGGTGTAGGCTGGGGAGAATTGAGGTTCAGGCTGAGATCTGAAGACAAATGTGAATGTTGGAGCCATGAAATAATAAAGGAGATGTTATTTCACACTGTCTAATCAAAGCAACTCTGGCTTATAACTAAAGAGACTGGGCTGAAAATAACAGGAAGGACCATCAGGATCTGGCTGCCCTGGAGGGCAATGTTAGGAGACACTGAGAGGGTCTAAGGTTGACATGTTGGTGGCAGGCCCACAAACTCAGTCCTGAGTGAGAAGCCTTCAGTTCCCAGCTGATGGAACCATCACAGATAAGGGTCTGCTGGGGATACGGGGTGACCCAATCACAGCAGCGTTTAACTTACGATGGGATTTTTTTCAGTGGGGAACATGATAGCATTTTAGCAGTGAAAGCAGCAGAACTGGCAGGAAGGCCCCTGCCCTTTCTAGATCATCACAAATGGGGAGAAGTGGGTCCAAGGAGCCATGGTGGACAAGGAAGACAAGGCAGGGTGAAAAGCAGGCTGGGGAGGGAAGACAGAGAAAGATGAGAGAATCCCATTGAGTAGCCACAGGAAACCATCGGGGAGGGGTCGTTCTTGTGTTCGGTCAGCTGGCCAAGCCAGGACCCAGGCTCCTGGCATCTAGTGCGAAGCTCAGCCTCATTCCCAACCCCCTCCCCCACCCCACCCCCAATAAGAGAAAGGGTCAGTGCTCTGGAAAGAAGGAAGAACTAAGCAGTGCTACCCTTGGGAAGCAAGGGAAGGTGATCCTGACTAAAGCCAGAAGAGGGGCAGAGTTTGGTCTGCCAGGTTCAGGGAGAGAAGTCCATATCTTGAGGAAAACTTGGGGTATAGAGTGTTCTTAAGGTAAAAGGGAGTAGCTGGCTGAGCAGCAGCTGAAGGTTTCAGACAGAAGCCCTGGGTCTCCCTCTCGGCTGTCAGGTCTTGGTGGGGTAAACTTGGGGAACGACTTAGGGCTGACAAATGTGAGAGACGAGGTTTTGGGAAGCCTGGACCTTCTGCCCCCACCTCTGTGCCCATATGTCCCTGAGCCTGTTTCCTCACCGGTAAAACGGATCATAGCACCTGCTGGAGCTTGGCTCAAGGCTGAGTCTTCACACCTGTTCTCTCCTCTCTCCTGTGCCCCCACTGCCCTCCACCAACCCTAGCTTCTTAGGGATGCGATCTGATCATCCAGCTCTCCTACCGGGAGTATTTGCCAGGCCCTGTGCCAAACCCAGAACCTGAGAAGACTGTGCGCTGCTTGAGGAACTCAGCAGGAGGAAGGGCACCAGGTAGTCCTGTAGGCGCATGATTGCAGTGCCAGGTCATCAGGGCTGATGGAGTTAGGGAGAGACCTCACCTGGGAGGCCATGTGTCAGCACCTCCACAGGAATCCCCGGAATGATTTTTCACAAGCCCCGAAATGACAGTATCCTAAAAGGGAGAGGAACACCTAGACAGTGCTCTTTCCTGAGAGGCCAGAGTCCTGCTTGGCCACGAGCTTGCCCAGGACCGTCCAGGGATTTTTGCCTCTTGGAGAGAAATCCCTGCCTGTACGGCCTTCTCATGAGGGGCCCGGATGTTCGAGAGTGCAGTGTCAGATACGGGTGAACATGAACCTTCTCCACAGGCTGGCCATTTGGGAAGTTCTAGCCTCTCACCTCTCTTCCTGGCAACTTGTGGAATGTCTACACAAGGAGGCTTCACCACTTTTTCCAAACCTGAACTCTGTCCCTCCCTGCTGCACACTGCTAGTGGCAGGAAGCTGAGGCCATGGGCCCCATTTCAACGCTCTTCCAGTGTGACCTTGCTCTCCTCTGACTCCTCTCCTCCAGGCCCATTTCCCCATCTGTTCACCAAAGACGGACTGACCCAGGAAGCCTTCCACATTTCCAAAGCCGCCTTCTATGATATATCAGTGAACTTTATCCTTATTATTTCAGTCTGAGAGATCTTGATTGAGAGAAAGTGTTTTAATCAAAGAATTTTTTGCA